TAGATTAAGTTGTTTTGTTTTTCCATGCTTTTAATGCTTTTCACCAAGGCTCATTTGAGTGGTTATTGTTTTAATGTAGTGTTGTTTTGTGTTATATTTCCGAACTATAATGTACCCACACGCATGTGGTTTATTTGGCACAGTTCATTTTAAAGTCAGCCACCTCATGGCTAGATCTCATCTCTGAGAGTCCATTGGGTTAATGATTAAGAGGTCCTTTTGTTCTTCAGGCCACATGTTAAGGATTATCAGCATCCAATTTATTTGACCCCATGAGGTCAAGAGTCATTCTGTTAGACCACAATCTTGTGTAAGACAAATCATTGTTCTTTTGTCACATTTTGAATTACATAAGATTTAATTTTGCTAAATAAATGTATCTATAAATTTTATAGTTGGAGTTTGGTGTTTGCTAACATTTTTAAGAACGACATAGACCTACACTTGGGTCAAATTACAATACTGTGATCTGATTAGTGTGCTCTGCAGGTTTACTATTGTTCTGACCAAGCAGTGGGATTTTTAAGTACAGGGAGGTTCTTTCATAGTGTGTGAAATATGCGATGCTGGAAACATGTGGGTGTTGAAAAACTTAGTTTGGGTAAATATGTCACAATGGACGAAACGATTATTAGAGGGAGTTTTTATAATATCATTAGTAGACATTAATGGTGTTGTTTAGATGGCAGTTAACTACTAAGACAAATAGTATGATTAGAAAGAGACAGAGTGGAAAGGGTTGGATTTATTTAACCTCAGTGTGCTAGAATTTCTATAGGTAATGCGTCCCGAGACCTGGACTCTCTCTCTCTGCCCGTCAGACAGCTAAGACCCAGATCCGCTGAGCAAACAAAGGCCTATCCCAACCAGGAGACTGCTCCTTCTCAATAGACCAGACAGAGAACCAGAGCTGAACCAACAACAACAATAAGAACTGCAGCCAGAACTATCTCCACCTGTGGCATCCAGAACCAAACAGCTTGCTGACAGGCAGAGATCTACTCTCATCAGTCCCTCAGGCAGGGCATGAAGTTTCAAGCTGAGCCACGAGATTTGGCACAAGAGCAAAGTGTGGGACATGAGAGCAGAATCCGCCCTCCATAAAGCAGCAGAGAGACTGTAAAGGAGGAGATTAAATGCAAAGCAGTACAAAAACCGCGGCATGATGGGGGCTGCAGATGTAGCTGGGCAGATGGCTGCCTCAAAGAGTTACAGCTGATGGACAAAGGGGGAGGAGTCAGCATCAGAGGAGATGGTCGAGCAGAATGTGAGGTGGCCGGGGTCGCGGCTTGAGATAAACCAGAGGAGAGGGGAAGGGAATCAACGGGAATGAGTGAGTTTACACATAAACACACTTATTATAAGCGCACATTTAAAGAACTTGAATTGACTTGATAAATAGGTGAAGAAAAAAATTGTATTAATCAATTGGTAAATTAAAAATAGCAGTAAAGAGGAAACTATTAAAGTCAAATGAGAATCATCCTAAAACACACTGAGGGATAAAGGGGGAGACATGACAGAGTAGAACCGTGTGCTTCAATCTTTTCATCATGTTAACAAATTATTCTTCAAGAGATTTTTATTCACCTGTGAAGAAAGTACTGATCTCATTTGTTACAATATTGATCACCATTAAAAGGATAATTCTAGGAACCACTCTATAGGACAAATCTGTATTTGTATGGATAAGGCTAAAGGGAGAGCTGGTGCCAAGCCAAATATAGTATTCCAATCTATAAAGTATTGATTTCACCATTGTGCCATAGTTATTACCATAGGAGGGATTTCGGATGGACATACGAAATGACTTCTGTTTTTAAATCCTTGAAGAGGTAGGGAGTAATTGTCGCATGTTCGGACACCCAGGGTTCCACACACTGCTAAAGAGTTTAACATTGTTTTTTAGGTAGACCAGAATTGAAGATAAATGAGTATAATGACCGATGAAAAGCTACACAGGTCCTAGTAATGGTTTGACTCAAGATAATAATTATGTGCACAAGTTTCTGAAATAGATCAATTAGACATTTTAATATAGATTAGGTGTTGATAAACTGCAGTAGTACAATAAGGAAGTGACTTTTTTTTTTGGCTAACACTTTTCAGGGAATGTGGGAAACAGCTGTTCCGATGAAAAGTTAGAGATATCTGGAAAATTATAGTTGTAATCGTGAATTAATAAATGATGGCGCTACATATATACAGATTTGTGTAGACAAAGGATACTGGCCTATGCTGAAATATCAAAGTCTCTGCAGAGCATGATACATGGCCAAAAAGACTGATACCAACTGACCTTTGACCCTGACCGACAGTGTAATTTGAGAAGGCACTGTCAATGACTGACTCTGGGGTGTATCTGACCAAACTTGACTTTACAACCTGACAGTGTGAGTGTGAATGTGAGTGTATGTCTGCATGTGATCAGTGCAACTGCATGATTTAAAACAATGACTAATCAAGCATGCTTTTGGACTAACACATTATTCTGGGGCTCTGTGGGCAACGAGAGGTTTTTTACAATTCCACAAAAATTGGAAAACCGTACAGGTGACCCGTTTCTAATCTACTTGATATTTCACTTCCACAGGAGGTGGCAGTTTGCAGAATGTGAAACTCAAACTAAAACATGAAGATTCTGTTTCTTTTAGGACTGAATGATGGAGAGAAACATTTCATTTCACTGAAGTGTTTACTGTGGAAATGATGGATGTACATTTGGGAAACATGTTTGGTATTTTCTTATAATCCATTATTACCTGAAGGTTTTCTTCCCATACAGGATTTTGGTTACACATGAGTTCATGTGTACTGTAAAAAGGGGGAGTGTAAACTTCACAATGTACAATTTTCATTTAGGGACTGAAAGGAACCTGCTGCCCCAACTCGATTGTTCAATCTGACCATTGATTGACAGTTTTAGAATTGACCTGCTCCATATCTGGGGATAAGATACTGTTTGATGAATGTTGACATGTTTCTAATATTGATTGAGTTATAACAGGTAACACAGATGCAGAATCAGTGGCCAAGGGGCTACTGTAAGAGATGTAATTCCAGAATGGAATACTGAAGAAGTTGACCTGTGAGTAATGTTTCAACAGGTATAAAAGTAACTGAGGTTTGAAATGTAGAAAGAACATATTACAGTTAAAGCTAAAACATAGTAATGTAATGAGACATAATTTAATTTAGACAACATCATGTAACTAGCCTGGTAAAGAAGTAAAAGCCATAGACTTTATTGTTTAGGTCATTATGGGGATATACATTTAGAGCCCCCGCCAAAGAATGACTCTGCCACAACAGTATTAAAGAATGTCAGTGGATAACGTTTACAGATAACAGATTAAGCAAGGATACCGAAGCAAGTTAGCAACACACGTGGAACAGCCTTTTAATTGTAAATTCCGTTCTCTTAATGTCTATTTGGTCCAACGTTGTTGAATTAGAGAAGAGGGGCTTCTAAACGGGATTGTATGCGGGGGTGGAGGAAGTTAAATATTAGATAAATATAACTTTGGTGCGTGTAAGAGTGAGTGTTTTTAGCAGAGCCATATTGTGTCCTTGTGATTATGTTGATTATTACCTATCTGTATAATGTTGCAGCTCAGCTGATTTTGGATTGATGGCAAAGGGAGAGGGACTTAAGTGAGAGTGAAAACACAAGGTAAGTTTAATACTACTGTTTTATATAAGTAAACACCTTATCTCCCCAAGGCAATTTCCCATCCAATAGGTGTGCTATATAGGTGTGTATAACCAGGGGTGCACATAACTTTTTTGCCCTGGTTCTCAAAGGAGCACCTGGAGATGTTGCTTGGTGCTCATCCTTAAAATGAAATAAACTGTAACTTTTGAGGGAGTCTTGACTTTATTTGCCAGACACACGGCACTGAACACACGTGCAGAGGTGAACACAAGACAACATTAGCACGACCAGTAATCCTACAAGCTGTCATCACTACCCTCCTGACTGTTCTCCTCACTGTCTTCCTCTCTGTCAGACATGGTAGCTGATGATGTAGGCCTACTACTTCCTCTGGTTGAGTCTGCGATTAGCTGCTTGCATCCACAAATCAACAGCTGGTTTTGGGTCGAAAGTCTCTGTTGTCATCTTAGACAAGTGGATGTAATCAAATAAGTATGTGAACATAACCAATAACCTACCATAGCCAATAACAAATGAATGTAACTTATTTTATTTGTGTTGTTCATTCATATCTTATTTTACCTTAACATTTATTTATGCATTTTTATGCATTTATCTCTCTAGTTTTAAAGGATATTTTTGGTTACTGTGCTATAGTATGCATTGGAATGATTTCAAACCTGTGTATCCCAATAATTATAAAGGAGTGCCTTGGAAATATGTGTTGACATAAATTGTGACCAAACTGTTTGAACTTAGACTAAAGTGAACTATCTAAACACTCAGTCCTTTACCTCACTGAGCTGTAGTATCAGCCTCTCAGTCTGACTGGAGAGGACTCTCCCTCCATATTATTGTAGAAACATCTTCTTCTTATATCCGTTAGAGCAGCTAGCACCAGATTATAATAACAACACCGGGCGGTGCACCCTTCTCTCTCTCCCTCGCTCATTCGCATTTTGGCTGTGAGCTGCGGGCGCCAGATAAGCCAACATCCCCCATTTTCATCACTTACAGCGCCCATTGTACAGGGCAAATGAAACATGTAACCGGGGTGAAAAGGGTGTTACATTTACTTATGAATATTGTTACATCAAGGCCGAAAATTAGGATGAGCCCCAACGGTCAAAAAAAATGTTTTCCCTCCCAGAGCTGCCAGCGCAGCGACTCCCCAGATCTGGCGCCCTAGGCGAACATCTATAACACCAGTGCTACGGGCTGACCCTGAGTTCATATGCAACTCGCAAATATCTTTCTCTCCTGTTATGGAAATCTGAGACCTGATCAATACGGTGGAGATACACAAGTCAGAAATATCAAACAATAAATGGTGAAACAGACAGAGTTGTCTTTCCGGTTATTTATTTGAAGCTTCAAAGACACAGGTCTCACAGAACACAGAGTATCCTGAGAGAGTGCGCGCAGAGTAGAAAATACATACAGGTTATATAGGATTTTGGTCAGTTCAACAACATCCCGTCACTCATTAGGAGGGGCCCTGGCAGGAGAGATAAGCTTTCCAAAGGAACTGAAACTGTCAATCACTAATAGATCGAACCAAGGGCCTGTTCAGCAAGAGGGAAGTTAGGAAACTTGTCAGCAACAGATGGAAGCTAAGAAATGGGGAACTTGATTATAAGACAGGGAAACTAAACAGGAACTTGCCCATTGCCCTGCTCCTGGTACCCAGCCCCCTCGTTAAGTTTAAGACCTGAGGCGACCTTAAATGTCACTTTCCAGGGAGACAGAGGACATGAACTAAAACACATCACCCAGACCTGACTATGACATTTTTAAGGTCATGAGTGTCAATATATCATTGCAGACACACTTGCAGAATGCTGACAGAGGTCCTAAGCAGATATATATTATTATAGAAAATGCTGATAGTACTAGTAAAGGTTACAAGCAGAACACATCATTTTAAGAACTGCAGTGGATATGTCCATGTATGGTCTTTATAGAAAGTCTGCACCATAAGAAACCTTAACCTTCCTGTAAACAAAGTTTGCCATTACATTCCCCCCTTTTGATCATACTTTGATCACTCAATGAAAATGATAGGATAGACTGATATAACACATCAATGAATACACCCCATTCCTGGTTTAAGTAAACACATCATAAACATATCATAGAAAACTGGCTGTTTTTGTGGAGGACAGACTCCGATATATATATTTTAAGGCATAATAGGAGGGCACATTTTACTTCGCATGGATTATATTGTAGCCTCGTACTCGGACTCTTCTGATTCATTCTCATAGTCGGGAGTGTCATAGGAAGGAGTGCAAGGTATGAGATTATCATAGCTGTGGCGTGGATTCTCGTTTAGCGGAATTGCAGCATACTGAACAAAAGCTGAGGATATCATGCTGGACACGCATTTCTTCAGTACTGGAATAATCAAACAGGTACACATGATTATCAGGCCAAAAATGATCATCAAGGGTGTAATTATCCTAGCCACCCATGCTTCCCACCCACCCGCTGTGAGCCAGGACCACCAGTCCCATCCCCCTACGTTGGATACGTCATCCGCTTTCATGTCGGCCAATAGGTTGTTAAGATGTAGCACGGTGTCAGTGATGTTCCTTGTGGCGTCGGGAATGTAAGTGCAACAGGAGTCACCGATCACATGGCACAGGCCACCCTTTGAGGCGAACAAAAGATCGAGCGCAAATTGGTGCTGCATAAGCATATTCCTAGAGGCTATCATGAATGGGGTCAATGCCTGAAAACCTTGCGTTGTCTCATACGTGAGGTTCTCCAGACGAACGTGTAAGGCGTCTACCTTATGGGCATTGTTTACGGTGCCCCACCATGGAAACAGACCTCCAACGAATTTTTCCCCTGGTGTCGTCAGATCTCTTTTCACCTTGTGGTGGTCGGGGTGTTGGAACTCTGTGTAATGATGTGTCGTGTACATTAAAGATGTGAGGACAGTGACTGCTGGGTTTAAATCTACTAGGGCGCATGTCCCCACCCAGAGGGGAGCCAGAACTTGATATAGCTTGTCGCCACACAGCCAGACATAATCTTGTGGTGCGCTGAACCCAGAATCGCTGGGCCAGGACACATGGAGGGGAGGGTGGTCGGTCTCAGGGAATGCGCGGTTAGAATATTCCCTGTTTGGGGCCCCTGGTATGAGACAACCCGAGATATTGTGAATACCCTGACCGCATGTGCTGCGCAGGATACGCATGCAACCGGTAGTGGTGCCTAGGAAGAAGTAAGGTGGTACAAGGGACGTTTTCTGATACTCCCTCCGGATACAGAGGTCGTGTTTCATTCCGCTCAGATGGTTAGGGTGCACGTGGCTGACAGGTTGGTACTTATCGTATGTGCTGTCAAATGCGGATGAACGCAGTGAGGAGTTGGACCGATTACTGCATGGTGGGGGAAGTATCCTAGCATACCGCCACTCGGTTACACGATCCTCCCCCTTGACGGGCCTTGTTAGAGCCATAAACGCGCAGAGTTGTTCCACCCGGGTCAGAGAGCGTGGACGAACTGGCACGGACATTGATGAGTCATGAGGAAACAGGGTGCATGCATAACATGACCCACTTTGTCCTGCCGCCTGCAGGAATGATCTCAGAGTGTGCCACCAGACGTTACCGGTGATACCATTATTAGACTGGATCTGATCAATGTTGTTATGGTCGTTATTGCCTACATACGGGTTACGTTTTAGAAACGTGGATGTACCTATGGATGTCAGTAGTTGCGTCAAAGGCTGCTTACCCTTCCTCTCTGGTTCGGGGGTTTGAATCTTGGTTACGATGTCTATGAAAAATGCCCCACATGGGTCCGCGCCGGATACATACATACAGACAACATAATAACCTCCATCTGATTTTCGGGCCTCCTGGAGTTGCAACAGGATAACGGGGCTCGAGGAATTTACCTTGGAGATAGACAATCTCCCTTTGATGTTTGTTTTGTCGTCCCATAGTGTATACCCCCAATCGTTATGCTCGGTAGTCCATAGAACAAACGCCCAGCCCCCGGAGCAGTGAGTAGCGGTGTGACTATCATCCTCGACGTAGCATACATAGGCATCCGCCCACCCCAGCTTCTTAGGATCGGTGCAATACATATAGTCGCACGGGTTCAGCTGCACTGTGCTATCTTCCCCATCCCTTAGAGTGATGTTCCCACCCCCTGGTTTGACTAGCCCTTCCGCCCAGGTGATTCGCCCCGCTTTCCCCATGTACCTCTTGTACACATTGACCCTGGTCGAACTGCCGCGTAATGGCCATGGATGCATGAAATACAGGATTAATCCTATCATTACTATCATTGCCAGAATGCCCAGAACCCATTCCATAATTGTCCAGGCTCTCCAGTGACATCCCCCCTCTCCACTTTGCTCACGGTTACGTAGTCGTCTTCTCATCATGCGGCGGCGGGGATGCTCCGTCTGGTTTGTGTGTGTGTTTGCTCGAATCCTGTGGCACGGACAAGTAGACCCCGCACACTGGAAGCACATCAAACGAGAAACCAGAGGCATGTGGAACCGCTCAGCTGGCACTCGCTGGTGGCCCCCTGTGTGGGTCGTGTTAGGTTTTTGGTGTATGTTGTGCATGTGTGGTGCTGTTGGTGACTAGGACACGCCACTTGTTGCCCTCTGCTTCTCCTTGTTGGTGACTAGGACACGTCACTTGTTGCCCTCTTACTACCGTCTCTCCTGGCCTGTGACTACGACCTTGCAGTGGCTGGCGTGGACCCACGTAGCTCTCTCGGCGACCTTGACCGCTGTCTGGGTGACGAGAAGCACCTGGTAGGGACCTTGCCAACGATTGGATTTCCAGCTCTTTCTCCGGAAATCTTTGACCAGCACGAAGTCACCGGGTTCGAGATGATGAAGTGGACCAGTGGCAGGGGTAGGCAATGCTGCGGCTACCTGACGTCGGATATCTGCTAAAGTGGATGACAGGTTAACACAATATGACAACATAGCATCCTCACACAACGTTGTGGAGGGAAGAGGACATCCTGGAGCCTTGAGTCCTATCTGTGGAGGAGCCCCAAAAAGGATTTCAAAAGGGCTGAGTTGGCTCCGCGTTCGTTTCCGCATCCGCATGTACATCAGCACAATGGGCAGAGCTTGTGTCCATGACAGACCTGTGTCTGCACAGCATTTTGCAAGTTTGTTTTTGATTGTGCCGTTCTCTCTTTCCACCGCACCCCCACTCTGTGGATGATAAGCACAATGCTTCCTGATATCCATGCCTAGGTATTCCCCTATCTGTGCAATGGCCTCATTAGCAAAGTGTGAACCGTTGTCGCTAGAAATTTTGTCTGGTAGTCCCCATCTAGGGATGATTTCCCTAAGTAGTGCTTTTGCCACAGCATTTGCTGTCTGTGCTTTTACTGGAAAAGCTTCAACCCATTTGGACCACATGTCAACCACCACCAAACAGTGCTTCTTACCCTCCGATGGGCTAAGCTCAATGAAGTCCAGCATTAGGTGCTCAAATGGCCTAGTGGGAGGTGGATGTGCTCCGGGTCCTGTAACCTTTACTGGTCTACCAGAATTTTGCGTAATGCAAATCAGGCATGCTCCACAGTGCTTCTGAGCTGTCACTGTGAACCCCCTTGTGAACCACTCTTGATTGATAGCTTCTAACATCCCCCCTTTTGACACATGGTCTAACCCATGTGTCAATTTAGCAAAATGAGGGAAGAAATGTCTTGGAAGACATGGATTGGAATTTGGACCAAACCAGATGCTGGCGGTTGGGTCAAATACAGCTCCAGCCGCCTTCCACTGAGCTTTCTCAGTTTTATCAGCTAACTGCTGCATGGACGTCAGTGATGACATCTTGTCAGTGTAGGAGGTGACAGGGATTTTAACAAATGAGTGTGAGTGAGGTGTGAGAGGAATCAGAGCAGCTGCCTTTGCAGCTGAGTCAGCAGACGCATTTCCTAAGGAAACTGGGTCTGTGCTGCTTGAGTGTGCGGCACATTTGCAGACTGCAATTTCAGATGGGAGTAGAATGGCATCTAATAAGCCTGCAATCAGTACGTGGTTAAGCACTGGTTTACCATCACTTTTCAGAAATTGTCTGCACTTCCAAATAGCCCCAAAATCGTGTACTACCCCGAAAGCATATCGTGAGTCAGTGTAAATAGTCACGGTTTTGCCTTCTGCAAACGTGCAGGCTTCAGTTAGTGCGATGAGCTCTGCTGCCTGTGCCGACAGATGACATGGGAGCGGGCCGGAACGGAGCACCGCTGAATCTGAAACAACAGAAAATCCCACCCGATTAGTGCCCCCCTGGTCGCGAGAGGCAGACCCATCAACATACAGAATTAGGTCAGAGTTGGTCAGAGGAATGTCTTTTAAGTCCGGTCTAGGTGTGCACACAACCAAAAGTTCGGCGACACAGTCGTGTTCGTCACCATCCTCAGGTAAAGGCATAAGAGATGCTGGGTTGAGAGTGTTACATCGCTTGACATACACATTAGGCATGTCTAACAGACATGTGTGATACCTAAGGTATCGTGCAGCAGAGAGGTGTGATGTTCTTTGTTCACAGAGGATGAGAGAAACAGCATGTGGCACTAGCAGGGTCAAAGGTGCATATCCCACAATGTCACGTGAGGAGTTCAGCGCTTTCTCAGCTGCAGCCACTGCACGGAGGCATTTTGGCAGACCAGCAGCTACTGAATCCAGTTTGGAGGAGAAATAGGCCACAGGCCTTTGTTTTCCCCCATGATCTTGAAGGAGAACTGAGGTCATACACCCATGTCGTTCATCCACTGCCTGAGTGAAAGGTTTAGTGTGATCAGGTAGGCCTAGCGTTGGTGGGGATTGAAGAGCCAGCTTCATTTTAATGAAGGCTTCATCGGCCTCAGTTGTCCATGTGAGGTGATCTGTAGGTTTCAACCCACTGACATGCGTAATTGTACGCAGTGGCAACTCAATAGGCGAATAGTTTGGAATAAAAGACCTGCAGTATGAGCACATTCCCAAAAATGACATCATCTGTCGCTTAGTGACAGGTTTTGGCAGAGCTGCCAATGATGCAATACGCTTATCTGAAAGCGTCTTCCCCTCTCCTGAAATGACATGACCCAAAAATGTAACTGTTCTTTTTACATATTGGAGTTTTGACAAACTTGCCTTGTGGCCTTCTGCTGCGAGATGCATTAACAATGCAATAGTATCTGCCTCACACTGCTCTTCTGTGGGGGCGCAAATCATAAGATCGTCAACATACTGGATGAGAGCTGTGCCTTTAGAAACTTGGAGAGAGGCCAAACTTGTACACAATGCCTGGTTGTACACAGTAGGTGATTCACAATAGCCTTGGCACAAACGCGTAAATGTATATGGTTTACCATCATATTCAAACGCAAACCAGAATTGACTATCTTTGTGTACAGGAACACTGAAGAATGCATTTGAGAGGTCGATGACAGTGAAGAATGCTGCAGTGGCTGGCACTTGGGAAAGAATCAGATAAGGATTTGGCACCAACGGTGCGCGAGCATGCACTGCAGCATTCACAGCTCGTAAATCCTGGACAAATCTCCATTCGTCAGGAGGTTTGTCTCTGATCTTTTTGACAGGAAACACTGGAGTGCGCACCGGGGAATCGTTACACGGAATAATGACCCCTTGTTTAAGCAGAGAGGTAAACACTGGCCGAATGCCATCAACAGCTTCACGCTTAAGTGGGTACTGGGGCTGATTTGGACGGAACGTAGTTTTAGGAGTGATCACTACCGGTTCCGCTGAGCGAATCAATCCCACATCATATTTGTGTGCTGCCCACAGTGTCTGCGGCACTGTTTTTAGCGCGTCAGGGAGCTCAGAAATATGACTGAAACATGAGAGCTCCGGGTCAAATGGGCCAGCAACGGGGTTAACATAGTCATCACTGCCTGTGAGAGTCATAGAACGCAGCGCATGAACTGGGCAGTCAATGCTATACTTAACCACGTTCTGTGATGGGGAAAACTGAATCAACGGGTCGTCTGTGTTTGTCCAATCAGTGCTAGATTCCCAATCTTTAACGATTGGACCCAAATCCCTCCATTTCTCCGTGGGCCCCCTAGCTAGTGAAATGTGCGGGACCGCCCCTGGGATTTGATACAGTTTGTGTTGTGCTGGTGTGAGTGTGACAGAAATAGCACTACACACTGAATTCCAATACATGGTTTTCAGCATGATCTCATCATTCACACATTCCAACAGGAAAGCCTCATCATAGTATTTACATGGATCATTAATCACATTAGCCGTACAATGCAACTGAGGCGCTTCCATGAACACAGCAGGTGGAAAGACACGTTGACGAGTCAACCGCAACAATTCCTGAGAATCAGGACATGTCAACAGCCATTGGTACACACTCAACAGTTCTTTATCATCAAATGTGGGATTCTGAAACAGCGTGGGGGATGGTCGTCGGACCTTGAGACCCTCATCTGTAGAAATGAGGTCTAGCCCGAGCCGGAGAATCAAATCTCTCCCCAGTAAATTTATGGGGCAGACAGATGATACAAGAAAACTGTGTTTGACTGAGGTGGGAAATGGGTGACTGTCATCCCCGTTATCTTTACACTGCAGCGGTACAGAAAACCTCTCCTTTACAGTTACCCCAGCCGCTCCTATTGAGTGGATAAATCTACCACTAAATTTGCAATCTGGCAAATCTGCTTTCTTCACTACAGAATGGGTAGCCCCAGAATCAACCAGAAATGTGACATCGATACCCATTATAGCCAACGTCAGTGTGGGAAATTTCTTAAATGCCTTTTCAGTGTCATATTTCAAATATGTGCCATTTCCCTCTACAGACATTCTCTCTAAATTTTCCAATGTTTCAATTGCTTGTATGATGTGTGTGTGTGTATGACTTCCCTGGTCTGATGCTGTCGGCAGTGGTTCCGTCTCCTCCACCCGAACTCCTTCTTCCCCCGCTCCCTCCATCACCTCATGTCAGTTTGAAGAATTGTCTTTGTTACGGTCCATTTGTTTCGTTTGAAAGTTATTCTCCCTCTTTTCGTGTGGGCAGTCCTCTCTCCAATGAGTCTTTTCTCCGCAGTTGAAACATTGGTCATCGCCGTATCGGTTTGGTCGGCGGCCTCGTCCTCTCCCTTTTCCTTTTCCTCCTCGACCCCGGTAACCGTCTCGTCCTCCTTGTTTTCCTCTGTCCTGGCCATCGCTCTGGCCCGGATTGGTTTGATTGGACCAGGCGGTTGTGACAGCCTGGACCATGGTTAGTTGGGCTTTTTCTTTGCGGTCACGGCGTTTCTTTTCCTCACTGGCCCTCTCTTCTGACAGGTGTTTTTCAGCATGCACGGCATGTCGGCGAATTTCTTCCAGCCGGGCGCCGTCCATAACGCCAATGCAGGAGCTCCGCACCGATGCAGAAATAGCCGGGGATAGGCCGTTGAGAAAAGCGTTGCTGAGGTGGGTCTCCCAGACCCCCAAAGCGGGTGCCAGTCCCCCTTCTTGTTTTATCAGGCCGCTGTTCTCAACGAACACCTGTTCTAGGCGGTGGAAATAGTCATTTACTGTCTCATCAGCATTCTGTTTGCATGCGTAGATTCTTGACATGTCGACCTTGGCGGGAAACTTTTCTGTTATTGCTGCCTGGAGGGTGGTTAACGCATCGCGGTAGGCAGCGTTGTCGTTATGCTCCCACTCTGTCTCAGCCATGCGCTGCTGGCCCCCCAGTAGCTGGGTGAAATGGCTGACGTGTGTCGGACCCATTTTCAAAGTCAACAGTTTCTTTATCTCTGGCATGGTGGGGGAGAATTGTCTGCAGAACATCTCGAGTGCGGTGGAGAATTTCGCACCTCCCAACTCAACATTTGGGAGGTGATCTTTGGATATCTCTTTCATCTCAGATATGGTCCATGGTCGGTAGACGAATAAAGGACCACGGGGTCCAGCCACCTGGATCATGGGACACTGAGTTTGAATATCTTCGAGGTTTAGGTCGTCTTCGTTGAGTTCCCCTCTACGTGGATGTTGTTCTTGATAGAGTGCAGCTTTCTCCGCTCCGTCTTTCTTCTTTATCCGCTTCTCCTCGACCCGTCTCAGTCTTGCCTCTTCCTCCTGGTCTTCCTTTATTCGCTTCTCTTCGACCCGTCTCAGTCTTGCCTCTTCCTCCTCATCCTTTTCTCTTTGTTTCTCTTGTCTTCTGCTCTCTCTCTGTCGGTCCCCATCTGTATCTGCTGCGTTGGGGAGGTTTGGGGCTGGTAGGCTGATGTCCTGGCCAGCAGCACCCCTCGCATCCGGCTGTAGAACGGGTGAGGGGGGAGGGGGGAACGGGAATCCATGGTCGAGGAGAGGGTCCCCCACGCCTGTGAGAAACGGATACATAGAAGCGGTGTGTGGGTTATATGGAGGAGGAAACACGGGGGGGAACAGGAAACCCTTTTCCTCTTTCCTATCTCCCTTATCCCCAGCCTGTATGTTTCGTATGGCCGCGGCCAATTGCCTCCTTTCACGGCACTCTGCCTCCTTCTCCCAATATTTTAAACACTTCCTATGAATGTCCAGCTCCGCTAGATCCTTCACTTTAATTGTGTTCTTACTCTTCATTCCCTCCTCATGTATTTGTAATTTATCCCTTAGATCTTTGATCTTTATCTTGCTAAAGGAACCCCCTTTTGGAAATCCGAACATTTCCGTCCAGATACTTAATTTAACTAGGCTGTTCTCACCATGTTTTGCCCTCATGACATCTATAATCGGACCCTCGGGAGGGTGAATCAGCCCCCCACTCTGCTTTGATCCCATGGCAAAGCTACTTAAGTGTTTACTCTAAACACCCCGTGTTATAAAAACACTACTTTTTCACCCGTCGGTGATTGTGATTTTCTTCTTCAGTGAATCACAAAAACTGATCGTAAACCCAGGCTACGACGGATAATCCCTGATATCCTTACTTTGAGCAATCCTTCTTATAAATGTCATGGGGTTTTTAATTTACGTTTTAATTTTAAACAATTTAGACACTGTACATCTCACCGAGTATTTGAAAAGCCGTCTGAGTTCGTTTGGATTTCGTGAAGTCAATCGGTTTCACCCCGGCGCTGGTCCTCTCGTCCCGTACGTTTTCTGTCGAGGTAGAGGAGAATCCGAGAATCCCGGTGCGACCACCAGCGACCGCAGGTGTCCCCAATCGACAAGACAGAAATCCTGCCGACAACGCCAATTGTTATGGAAATCTGAGACCTGATCAATACGGTGGAGATACACAAGTCAGAAATATCAAACAATAAATGGTGAAACAGACAGAGTTGTCTTTCCGGTTATTTATTTGAAGCTTCAAAGACACAGGTCTCACAGAACACAGAGTATCCTGAGAGAGTGCGCGCAGAGTAGAAAATACATACAGGTTATATAGGATTTTGGTCAGTTCAACAACATCCCGTCACTCATTAGGAGGGGCCCTGGCAGGAGAGATAAGCTTTCCAAAGGAACTGAAACTGTCAATCACTAATAGATCGAACCAAGGGCCTGTTCAGCAAGAGGGAAGTTAGGAAACTTGTCAGCAACAGATGGAAGCTAAGAAATGGGGAACTTGATTATAAGACAGGGAAACTAAACAGGAACTTGCCCATTGCCCTGCTCCTGGTACCCAGCCCCCTCGTTAAGTTTAAGACCTGAGGCGACCTTAAATGTCACTTTCCAGGGAGACAGAGGACATGAACTAAAACACATCACCCAGACCTGACTATGACATTTTTAAGGTCATGAGTGTCAATATATCATTGCAGACACACTTGCAGAATGCTGACAGAGGTCCTAAGCAGATATATATTATTATAGAAAATGCTGATAGTACTAGTAAAGGTTACAAGCAGAACACATCATTTTAAGAACTGCAGTGGATATGTCCATGTATGGTCTTTATAGAAAGTCTGCACCATAAGAAACCTTAACCTTCCTGTAAACAAAGTTTGCCATTACATTCCCCCCTTTTGATCATACTTTGATCACTCAATGAAAATGATAGGATAGACTGATATAACACATCAATGAATACACCCCATTCCTGGTTTAAGTAAACACATCATAAACATATCATAGAAAACTGGCTGTTTTTGTGGAGGACAGACTCCGATATATATATTTTAAGGCATAATAGGAGGGCACATTTTACTTCGCATGGATTATATTGTAGCCTCGTACTCGGACTCTTCTGATTCATTCTCATAGTCGGGAGTGTCATAGGAAGGAGTGCAAGGTATGAGATTATCATAGCTGTGGCGTGGATTCTCGTTTAGCGGAATTGCAGCATACTGAACAAAAGCTGAGGATATCATGCTGGACACGCATTTCTTCAGTACTGGAATAATCAAACAGGTACACATGATTATCAGGCCAAAAATGATCATCAAGGGTGTAATTATCCTAGCCACCCATGCTTCCCACCCACCCGCTGTGAGCCAGGACCACCAGTCCCATCCCCCTACGTTGGATACGTCATCCGCTTTCATGTCGGCCAATAGGTTGTTAAGATGTAGCACGGTGTCAGTGATGTTCCTTGTGGCGTCGGGAATGTAAGTGCAACAGGAGTCACCGATCACATGGCACAGGCCACCCTTTGAGGCGAACAAAAGATCGAGCGCAAATTGGTGCTGCATAAGCATATTCCTAGAGGCTATCATGAATGGGGTCAATGCCTGAAAACCTTGCGTTGTCTCATACGTGAGGTTCTCCAGACGAACGTGTAAGGCGTCTACCTTATGGGCATTGTTTACGGTGCCCCACCATGGAAACAGACCTCCAACGAATTTTTCCCCTGGTGTCGTCAGATCTCTTTTCACCTTGTGGTGGTCGGGGTGTTGGAACTCTGTGTAATGATGTGTCGTGTACATTAAAGATGTGAGGACAGTGACTGCTGGGTTTAAATCTACTAGGGCGCATGTCCCCACCCAGAGGGGAGCCAGAACTTGATATAGCTTGTCGCCACACAGCCAGACATAATCTTGTGGTGCGCTGAACCCAGAATCGCTGGGCCAGGACACATGGAGGGGAGGGTGGTCGGTCTCAGGGAATGCGCGGTTAGAATATTCCCTGTTTGGGGCCCCTGGTATGAGACAACCCGAGATATTGTGAATACCCTGACCGCATGTGCTGCGCAGGATACGCATGCAACCGGTAGTGGTGCCTAGGAAGAAGTAAGGTGGTACAAGGGACGTTTTCTGATACTCCCTCCGGATACAGAGGTCGTGTTTCATTCCGCTCAGATGGTTAGGGTGCACGTGGCTGACAGGTTGGTACTTATCGTATGTGCTGTCAAATGCGGATGAACGCAGTGAGGAGTTGGACCGATTACTGCATGGTGGGGGAAGTATCCTAGCATACCGCCACTCGGTTACACGATCCTCCCCCTTGACGGGCCTTGTTAGAGCCATAAACGCGCAGAGTTGTTCCACCCGGGTCTCTTCTCTCTCCCTCTCAATTTTGGTACACAAATGCGCCTTTTTTCAAATGACCCGGTGCTCTTTTTTTGGCGGAGGTGCGCATGCGCACCAGTTATGTGCAGCCCTGTGTATAACCCTTTCTCCTGTCTGTTTATCCCTCTTTCAGCACAAGAACCAGAGGGGGATTCAATGGAGCCTGAATACCTGCACTGAGACCCTCACCCTGCACCCTGAGTCTCAACTCTCAGTGTTTTTCAAGCCTTTCCCTGTTTTTTTGTATTAAACAAAACATTAAGCTTTCCCAATGGTGTGGTTTTCGTTTTGTGAAAAAGTGCAAATATAGTGTTTGTATATAATTCAATCACATATTGTTTTGCTGTTGGTTGTGAAATTGCTCCTGCTGACTTGAGCCAGTCATTTTTTCCTCCGCTCTGTGTCAGTGGGGAAGCCGTACATTCGTACTCCTTTCTCGGAGTGATTTGAGCATCCCCAGGCAGCACAGCAAACCATGGTGTCGCCACCATGGTTTGCTGTGGTTCGGAGGCAGCACAGCAAACCAGGACAACACGGAGGAAAAGGCCCAGACAAACTGAATGATATGCTATTCAATGTTTATTGAATTCCATGTATTTGCAATGGCCACGAACTACACATATGATGTTTGTCAATCTTAAACAATCATTTCCATGTCAAAAAAGTCACATTTTGTCGTAAAACTGTTGAAATATAAGACTATGAAAAATACGCGACTACAAATCCCAAATCCCATTCTGGGTCGCGTAAGTGATGTCACCGGCGATAATGCTCCAAGTGGTTGGTTCACTTTTACAAGATGCCTGTGTGCTTTGTACCAGGTTGTAATCACAAAAGTGATCATACCACTTGCTCGTTCTATCGCTTCCCGTCTGATGAAAGGACCAGGAGTCGCTGGATTAGACATATCAGGTAATATCATAGGTAATATACATGTTGTGCATGAAACATAGTCAAGTTAGCTACCTAGCTAGTAGCGACGAGTAGCGAGCACCTTAGTTAGCATTACATTACTTAGCCTTGTCATTTTTAGTAGCCTTACCATGAAGTTATTATTTTATTACATGAAGTAAACCAAAATGTTAAACAGTAAGAGTAGTCATGATGGTAAGTATTTCGTGAAACATTTGAAGAGTAGCCTACTGCGCCCTCCACCGGGTGCTAAGGAAGCAGTTCAGGGAGAGTCGAAGGCAGGCAGGGAGCTTTGCATGACATTCTTCTGGACGTGTTTCATTGTGATGATAGTGAGAGTGAGTCAATCTGTTTGTTGGAAAGACAGTCGTTGTGTGCTTACTGAGAGAAAATTGTTAGAAGAGATAATTATTCAAAGTGTTTCAAAGTGTTGTTACTTTAAACTAAGTGTTGTTACTTTAAACTAAGTGTTGTTACTGACCTTTTTCTCTTTTATTTTCTTTACCTCACCTGTAACTGCTGAGACGTTGAGGAACATGCACACTGACCTGCTCTGGCAACCTGATTTCCACTGTACGTAATAGTATTTGGTTATGGTATATTATTTATATACATCAAAGGCACAATGCACCCCCGAGAGACACACATTTATTGAGTGTGATATTTTGCATAGGTCATGTGAAATCATCTTTACATACTAGAAAACTGTAGGAGCGGCAACTTGTTTTGAAATAGAATTTTTAATATCCGATAATAAAGTTGATCTGTTTTCTTTATTATTCTCTCTTCCCAGCTCCATCCATCACCATTCTCTGTTCCTGCAGGTCCTGCTTGCTAATCAATGCTCATATTTTTTTACACAATTACAAATAAAGTCAATGTATTGTATGACATGAAGTTGTGCTTCATTCGGAGTCAATAATAAATTCATTCTGCCTTCAACTGCACAATAATTGTGGACTGCACCGACATCCATGTAGCTGCCCCCCAGTAAGATGAACCAAGCAAAGAGGGTCACCATCATGCCCAAGGACATCCAGCTGGCCCGCCGCATCCGCGGAGAGAGGGCTTAGACTGACCTGAGACCAGCACACCCAAACACAACAGCTCTTTTAAGAGCCACCTACAGTTTCAAAGAGTTGCAATCCTACGTTATTATAATGATTAAACTGGTTCATGTATCACTTAGTTTACTGAACCGTGATGAATGAAAGACATTAGTGAGGTAGTGGTTTACTGAAGTTACAAAGACATTAATATATGAGTAACAGGTCAGTGTAAACACAAGCTTCTGTCAATTATGGATCATTCAAACTATATACAAATATGTAATAAAGTTCTAAAACAAGTATTCGGTATATTCCTTGATAGCTTTTGGAGAAGGTTGTTTTTAAGTTTACTAAAATCTATCGTTTCAACTGTTTCACTTTATAAAAAGCGAACAGGTGAGTAGAGCATCATTGAGTTTCTTATTCTGTCAGTAAATTATCCAAATGAAATGTTTTTCATTATTTTAGTCAACCCTAAACAAATTGATTGTACCTTTTAATAATGACCTTACATGGTCGGCAAAGTTAAATTAACTTCAGAAAATCAAATCTGTTCTGAGAAAAAACTAATAAATGTTTAAAGATAGGAACTTGCCATCCCACTGAAAAACAGTCCGTAGAGATGTTAAGGTGTAGTTGTATAGTTCAGTCCAACGTTTCATTTGGATTCATTTGACAACAGTCAACTATTTTCATAAAGAATATATATATTTTTCAAAGTCAACTTTATTGTCAATCTTACTCAGTTTGTGTTTATAGACAGAGAGATCAAAAAGACGTTTAAATAAAATTATACAATTTACAGATACAAATAGAAATATATATATCCTATATACACCATCATGTATAATGATGGTGTATGATGTAGAAGGAAGTGTGGTAGATAACAAGTAAATATAGAGTTACATACAGATCCATGTTACAGCAAAAGATGGAATAACTAAGAAGCACGCAGTATAATAATAATTACATGCAACAATTAAATAACTGCTCAGCATCTCCACCACAATCCCAATCTGCTGTGTCCTGTTTTCCTCCCCCCTGCATAACACCCCATCACACATACGAAACACAACGCAGAGTCCGAGGGTGTTAAGAGTATGTTTATTGAAATGTCCTCCTCTCTACTGGCCAACACAGGGAGCATATGCTGGGTGTAGAATTTTTCCAGGAGGAGGAGATTTCCATGCCATGCAGGGTCTTTGGGGATGGGGATGATGATCGCCTCCTTCGTGGTCCACACAACAAAGTAGCAGAGACTCCGGTCTGTGATATGCAGCTGCCCTTGGACTGGTGCCAGTATGGGTGATTCTCCTTGAGAATATATGACCCACCCTCCTCACGGAGACAGAAGGATGGTAACTGGACTGCCTCCGCGATGGTCATGTTCCTCTGGCTGTGTGGACACTTCACCTCCAGCAGGGCAGATGGCTGCACAAGTCCATCGGGTGATGCTCCCAAAACCCCCGACTCACTCACAAAGAGACCAGACTCGAACACTGTCACCCGAAAAGCCTTCACCCCTTCGGCCTCGTTTACAACCCCCCAGTTGACAGTTGGCGATGTATCGATGTATCTCTGCATCGCGCCATCGTCTCCCATGCAGATCTGTAAAAATAAAGTAAGTACCATTTGTTAGCATGCTATAATAGATTGAATGAGCAATAATACAAGGATGGTCCGGATCTGGGGGTGGGAGGGTTTATTTTTCCATAGTTTTGTCCTCTTGTCTGATTGTTGTTATTGTTTGTTTTTTCTGTATTTTTTGTAATTTGTGTTGTATTGGTTGTGATTATACATTGTATTTTTCTAAATGTGTATGAATACATTTTTTTTAAACATTTGATCAACAATAAAAAAGGATTTGGTCAGGATCTAGACTCAGTGTGTAGTTTATTAATTAATCAATGCTCTCTACATTAGGAAAACACATACCAGTGTACTAGAGGGAGTCACACACAGCTGTGCCTAGATAACCAAAATCCTTGAATCTACACACAGCAAATAAAGTCAAATGACACAACGAGAAAAAGGAGATCACACATACAGTATAGTCGATATAAAACTGTCCGCTTC